GATATCAGCCTTTTGTCAGATGGGTAGATTGCAAAATTTTTTTCCCATTCTGCCGGTTCACTCTAATGATTGTTTCTTTTGCTGTGCAGAAGCTCTGGAGTTTAATTAGGTCCCATTTTTCTATTTTAGCTTTTGTTGCCAATGCTTTTGGTGTTTTAGTCATGAAGTCCTTGCCTATACCTATGTCCTGAATGGTTTTGCCTACGTTTTCTTCTAGGATTTTTATGGTCTTAGGTCTATGTTTAAGTCTTTAATCCATCTGGAATTAATTTTAGTGTAAGGTATTAGGAAGGGGTCCAGTTTCTGCTTTCTGCACATGGCTAGCCAGTTTTCTCAACACCACTTATTAAACAGGGAACCCTTTCCCCATTGCTTGCTTTTGTCAGGTTTTGTCAAAGATCAGATGGTTGTAGATGTGTGGCTTTGCCTCCAAGTCCTCTGTTCCGTTCCACTGGTCTGTATCTCTGTTTTGGTACCAGTACCATGCTGTTTTGATTACTGTGGCCTTGAAGTATAGTGTGAAGTCAGCCTGATGCCTCCAGCTTTGTTCTTTTTGCTTAGAATTGATTTGGCTATGTGGGCTCACTTTTGGTTCCATATGAAGTTTAAGGTAGTTTTTTCCCATTCTGTGAAGAAGGTCATTGGCAGGTCATTTTGAGATACATTCCATCAATACCTAGTTTATTGAGAGTTTTTAGCATAAAGTGCTGTTGAATTTTGTCAAAGGCCTTCTCTGTATCTATTGAGATAATCATGTGGTTTTTGTCTTTGATTCTGTTTATGTGGTGAATTACGTTTATAGACTTGCATGTGTTGAACCAGCCTTGCATCCCGGGGATGAAGCCTACTTGATCGTAATGGATAAGCTTTTTGATGTGCTGTTGCAATCGGTTTGCCAGTACTTTGTGGAAGATTTTTTGCATCTATGTTCATCATGGATATTGGCCTAAAGTTTTCTTTTCTTGTTGAGTCTCTGCCGGGTTTTGGTATCAGAGTGATATTGGTCTCATAAAATGCTTTGGGAAGGATTCCCTCTTTTTGAGTTGTTTGGAATCATTTCAGAAGGAGTGGTACCAGCTCCTCTTTGTACCTCTGGTAGAATTCGGCTGTGAACCCATCTGGACCTGGGCTTTTTTGGTTGGAAAGCTATTAATTGCTGCCTCAACTTCAGCCCTTGTTATTGGTCTATTCAGGGTTTCGACTTCTTCCTGGTTTAGGCTTGGGAGGATGCAAGTGTCCAGGAATTTATCCATTTCTTCCAGGTTTACTGGTTTATGTGCATTGAGTTGTTTGTAGTAATCTCTGACGGTAGTTTGTATTTCTGTGGAATTGGTGGTGATTTCCATTTTATCATTTTTTATTGCATCTATTTGTTTCTTTTCTTTTTTATTAATCTGACTAGTGGTCTGTCTATTTTGTTGATCTTTTTGAAAAAACAGCTTCTGGATTTATTAATTTTTGAAGGGTTTCTTGTGTCTCTGTCTCCTTCAGTTCTGCTCTGATCTTAGTTATTTCTTGTCTTCTACCAGCTTTTGAGTTTTTTTTTAAATCCTACTACTCTAGCTCTTTCAATTTTGATGATAGGGTGTCGATCTCAGGTCAAAATAATGAATTTTTCTTTCCTTGCTTTTCATGTGGGCATTTATTGCTATATACTTTCCTCTAGACACCGCTTTAAATGTGTCCCAGAGATCTGATCCATGAATACCCAGATTTGCTTTACCCATTCATCTAGGAATGAACACTGGGTTGGTTCATCTTCTTCAGTGAGGTGAGTAGTGTCCTTAAGGACGTGTGCAGACAATATCTCTACAAGACCCTGATTTCACTACTTGCAGCTGTATCATCAGTGGAGAAATTCCTGGATGCTATGATGTTTTCTATTTTTTTTGAGAGGCCCCCGTACTCTTCAATGATGGATGCACTATCTTACATTCCCACCAAGAGTGCGCTAGGGTTGCTGCCTCTGCACTCCCTTGTTACAATGTTATTTTCAAATTTGTTAGATTACTTGTTTGTCTTTTTTACAGCAGCTATCCTAAGGGATATGAAAAATTCATTATTTTGACCTGAGATTTAAAATACCAAAAAAAAAGCAGTGGAGTAACAAAATCTGACAGTGTCTTACCTCTCCCACCCATTCTGCTTTCCACAGAGGAAACTGAAACTCCACTTCATTTGGCCCATCTTGTTCTCTAGCCACAAATCCCTTCTTTATAATACCATGTGCATCTGTGTGTTTCAGGTTCACCAGGCTACCTGATGTTCCTCACAAGCCACTTTGCTTATACTGTGTCAACTTCCCTCGTGCTGTTCTCTGGGATCCTTCCACACACTGTTTTCTTGTTTGTTTTTGGTTCTTTTTTTTAACAAAAAAATTTTTTTTTAGACAGAATCTCACTCTGTCACCCAGGCTGGAGGGCAGTGGCACGATCTCGGCTCACTGCAACTTCTGCCTCCTGGGTTCAAGCGATTCTCCTGCCTCAGCCTCCCAAGTAGGTGAGACTACAGATGCGTGCCACAATGCCCAGCTAATTTTTTGTATTTTTAGTAGAGATGGGCTCATGTCTGTAATCCCAGCATTACAGACGTGATGGGAGGCCGAGGCGGGTGGATCATGAGGTCAGGAGATTGAAACAAATTCTCTGTGTCCCTGAGCAGGACACAGATACACTCCTCTACATCCCAATCCCTTCACCCAGAATATTCTGTGCTTCCCTGTGTTTCCCTGAAGCGCACTGCTCATAACTGGTGAGAGGCAGAGGAGGAGCCTTCATGGGCTGCTCCACTGATGAAACCCTGGAAAAATAGAAGCTCTGATCCTCCTAATTGAAAGAAAAACTAAAAAGGAGCTCCTGTTAGTCAATGTAGAGCTTGGTGAGCTGATCATTAAATTTCCCTGAAATTGTTTTCAAAGTCTTGGCTTCTACTAGAAGAGTAGGAGTTGGGGCAGTTGGGGGAAGCATCATCCTCTTGCTAATTTTCTTTCTAAGGATGTGGAAATCCCTAAGTTTTTTTCACAGTCATCACCAGGCAAATCATGACATGTATGACAAAAAGGACAAGATAATGGTGGTTAACATTTATTGAGACCTGCTATGTGCCAGAACTTGGTAAATCTGTTTTGTTTCTTTTTTTATTTTTAGACAGAGTCATGCATTGTCTTTCAGGTTAGAGTGCAGTGGCATGATCTTCGCTCACCACAACCTCTGCCTCCCAGGTTCAAGCTATTCTCCTGCCTCAGCCTCTCTCAGCCTCTCGAGTAGCTGGGATTACAGGCACTCACCAGGGTACCTGGCTAATTTTTGTATTTTTAGTAGAGACAAAGTTTCACCATCTTGGCCAGGCTGGTCTTGAACTCCTGATCTCATGATTCATCTGCCTTGGCCTCCCAAAGGGCTGGGATTACAGGCATGAGCCACCGCGTCTGGCCAGAACATGGTAAATATTAAACACATATATCCATAAACACATTTATTTGATCATCTGTCACCTAATGATGTAGGCACCATTATTTGTCCACTTTGGCAAATAGGAAAACTTGGGTTACATAAACTGAATAATTTTCCTAAGGTCCTAGAGCCCATAAATGAGGATCTTAACCCCTGTAGCTGTGATCCTCGCCACTGACTCTCCCCCTTGTTAGTGTTGGCGGCAAAGCTGGCTCAGAGACTCTCATCATCCTGTGTGATGGAAGTGAGAGCCACTGCTGCTCTCACTGTTGCCCACTGTTGATGCAGCCTATAAGTCCCTTCTTCCATAAAAGTCTTTCTGGGTGATTCTCAGCCCTACTGCTTGTCAGAAATACCAGAGCAGTTTAAACAGTACAGGAATCAGGGACTCATCCCAAAGGTAGAGTCGAAATCCCCAGAGAGAGAAGCCTGGAGTCAGTATAGTTTAAACGCTCCAAGTGATTTGATTGCACAGCTGAGAATAAAAAGCCTGGACCTGGGCTGTGACTCCTTTCAAATGCAAGTTTATTTAAGAGAAGTTTCTGGTGACTTCCTACTGACACCACATGAAGGCACTGCAGTGGGAGGGCAAGAGGTATGCATTGCTTTGTCTGGGGTCTTCCTTCACTTTCCATTAAAAACAGGATTAGTCCAGGCAGCACAGCTAGGTTTGAAGTGGAAAATGTGAGCCTAGTTTTTGAGGCAAAGTGACCAGGCACCCTGTTTATCTGTCTCTTCCCTTCCATCATCTTCCCTGTTTAGAGCCCCAGAGCAAAGAACTGTCCATACCACTGTGATGCACGATTAGCTCTGGACACTTCAAAAGCTCCTTGGGAAAAAGTTGGGTTATTTATTCATCAGATGAGCTTCAAGATAAGATGTAGGTGGCTACACATCACAGAAAGCTTGTCCTTAATAGGTAGAAACTGTGAATCATGGTTGTATTTATAACTGCACCTGTAAAGAACACTGTGGTTTGGGAGTGAGGCAGGATAGAGAACAGGTGCAGCGGTTGTTTTTCCCGGGAAATCCTCCAAAGGTGGGATGTATTGAACTAGGTTTTAGGTACCTATGCAGTGAACATGGTGGTGATGGAAGGGGCTGAGGGGAAGGGTAGGTCTTGTTCAGACTTGCTCAGTGTGTAACTGCAACAACCCTGGCTGGTTGTCAGACATGCAGGGGGATCAAAGCAGGGTCTCCTATGTCCCTGCTCTCCCATAAGCAGAACACAGCCTTCCTGTGCCTGCCAAAGTCAGAATCCACTGATGCAAAGAAAAAAGAATTAACAAAAGCTCAGGAGGAAACTGAGAATTCTGGGAATATTTCCAGAGGTGTCTGAACACTCACCTGGAGCACAGAGCTGAGTTTTGGATGGTTCTCAGCTTTGCTGCTCACATGTGGGCTACTTCCTGAGCTCCACCGAACTTGGGATGGAAGGAGGTACAGGGAGGTGGCACTGGTGGATGGCAGCAACCCTGGCTAGGAAGGTTGAGTGAGAGCCAGACCTTGTGACCTGTCAGGTGCCCCTGTGGGCAGGACCAGCCAGGCTCCCTATGTACAAACAGCCCTGGGCTCCACGGCTTCACAGGCTTCTGGGGTTGAGTCCAAATTTCTCATTGTTTGTGAAAGCTGAGCTCACAGCAGAATAAGCCACCATGAGGCTGTCCGTGTGTCTCCTGCTGGTCATGCTGGCCCTCTGCTGCTACCGGGGTGAGTATATCAGTCATGAGTCCAGCGCCAGCCTCTGGAAGCACCCTCCTCTGAGCACAGAGGAGGTCACTCATTCGGGCTGGGGTCAGAGTCTTCACCAAACCAAAATACCAGACCTTTTTCTGTGCTTGTTGAATGAGCCTCTGATAAAGCTCAGAGCTATTTCTTCTCCCCAGCACCTAGGAAGTTTTATGCAATATAAATGAAAGAAAATGTTAGGAATTCTTCTGCCTGAGCTTCACTCCTGGATGGGATCTGTGTCCGAGGATGTCATGTGAGGTCTGGAGTGAATCTGGGCTATGGGAATGGAGGACAAGATTAAGGCTGTCAAGAGTCTAGCTGTGGGCCAGACATGGTAGCTCATACCTATAATTTTAACACTTCAGAAGGCTGAGATGGGCGGATTGCTTGATCTCAGGAGTTTGAGACCAGGCAACATAGGTGATACCCAGTGTTCATTAAAAAAAAAAACCTACAAAAAATTAGCTGGGCATGGTGGCATGCACCTGTAGTTTTAGCTTGGGGGGTTGAGGTGGGAGGATTGCTTGAGCCCAGGAGATTGAGGCTGCAGTGAGCCAAGATTGTGCCACTGTACTTCAGCCTCAGAAGATGATAACCTGTCAAAAAAAAAAAAAAAATTTGAGCATGGTGGCTCACGCCTGTAATCTGGGCACATTGGGAAGCCAAGGTGGGTGGATCACCTAAGGTTGGGAGTTTGAGACCAGCCTGACCAATATGGAGAAACCCCATCTCTACTAAAAATAAAAAATTAGCCGGGCTTGGTGGCACATGCCTGTAATCCCAGCTACTTGGAGGCTGAGGCAGGAGAATTGCTTGAACCCAGGAAGCAGAAGTTGCAGTGAGCCGAGATTGTGCCATTGCACTCCAGCATGGGCAACAAGAGTGAAACTCTGTTTCAAAAAAAAGAGAGAAAGAGAGAGTCTAGCTGGGAGTATGAACCTCTTCCCTTTGTTGTGTGACCTTGAGGAAGTCACACCGGGAAGGGCTGGCATTGTCATCAGCACGATCATGGTATGGAAACACAGAACCCTGGGGATGCTGTGTGGCCTAACATCAGGCAGCCGTGAGAGAAAAATCAACTTTTTCTAACATGAAGTGTATTTTTATTCTTGTGCTGCAGCCAATGCTGAGATCTGCCCAGCTCTTTTATCTGAGATCTCAGGCTTCTTCTTCATTAGTGAACCTGTGTTCAAGTTAAAACTTGCCAAATATGATGCACCTCCAGAAGCTGTTGCAGCCATTTTGGAAATGAAGAAATGCCCGGATCAGATGGCCCTTGAGAAACGACTTTTACTTGAAGAAGTCCAGGTAATTTATTTCTCCTTTGGTGTCCAGGCTTCCCCTCAGCCACACAGGGTGGAGTGAAGTCAGCTTGCTGCTCCGTGGGGGACACAGGTGGTGGGGCACCTGCCTTGCTGGTCACCTCTTGGGAAGGTCATTCAGGGACACAGGCTGGGTGCTGCCATTTCCCCTACAGACTTCAACTCAGCTGCACACAGCCTCCTGCATATTCCTCCTTCTCAGGTCACCTGCCTGGTCGCTGTGTCCCCAGACTGAGCTGAGGACATGGGGATTGAGCTGGGGCCCAGGCAGAGATGGTAAAGGGCCAAGCATGGCCACCTCCATGCCTGGGAGCTTTCTTGACTGTGTCCACTGCGTGAGAGAGTGGACATGGTCACTGTGCAAGGTCCTGGGACCATGAGAGCCTTGAAAAATGAAAAAAGAAAATGGCAGGGAGGGACCTAGAGCTGGTCCTCCCACAGATGCTGCGCTGGGGGGCTGGGCTTCTTTGCAGCTTCTGCAGAGCCAGGAAGGAGGCCCTCCCAGCTCCCCAGACTCCATGCTCCCCTTCTCACTCACCCATGACGTTCTCCTGACCACGTGCAGGGGCAGAGACTTTCACTGCTCTACCTCCTGCAATGTCATGGAAGCCTGGATCTTCACACTTTATCTTTCTCAAGAAATCAGAGGTTTCCAGGATGCTGTCAGCCTGGCTGCTTCTGGGTTGCTGTCCTGAGGTTTAGCTGTAAATGCCCACAAAAGCTGCAGGCTCAGGGCTAAGAAGTGCCTGAGCCCTGAGGCAGAATTTCCGCATGGAAAGGCTGATGTCTCCTGAAAGCCACACTTCCCGCATGGAAAGGCTGATGTCTCCTGAAAGCCACACTTCCCAGAGGCCCTTCCTGCCCTGCCTGGCCCCTCAGCCCTGAGTCCCCCATTGCAGGGAATGGGAGATTCCACAGTCCCGGGGGCAGCTGTGATAACCTTCTGTTGCTCTGTTCACTCCTCCCCTCCAACTTCCATGAGGACCCTGGGCCACACTCCTGGGTCCCCCCAGGACTACTGGCCTGGTGGGGAAAGGCTGCTCCTTCATTGGCATGGGTGTTGTAAGGGCACCAGTTCTAGGCCTCCGTTTCTTTTTTTATCTTTTTGTTTTTTGAAATGGAGTCTCACTCTGTTGCCCAGGCTGGAGTGCAGTGGTACAATATCGGCTCACTACAACCTCCACCTCTCAGGTTCAAGTGATTCTCCTGCCTCAGCCTCTTGAGTAACTGGGATTACAGGTGCACACTGCCACCACGACTGGCTAATTTTTGTATTTTTGGTAGAGATGGGGTTTCATTATGTTGGTCAAGCTGGTCTCAAACTCCTGACCTCGTGATCCACCTACCTTGGCCTCCCAGAGTGCTAGGATTACAGGTGTGAACCACTGTGCCCAGCCAGGCCTCAGTTTCTTGAACTGAGTTCTTGGCCTCTGCCCTTCCAATTGCCTTTGAGGGCAGAATTCCACTGGCCTCTTGGATGTGAGCCTGTTACCTCCAGCAGCAGCATGACTCACCTCACCCTCCTTTTTTTTCCTTTTTCTATTTCAGCTAAAAATAGTGGCAAAAAAGCAATGTGTGACATGTAAAAACTCTCATCCTGGTTTCCACCATCTTTCAATGATACCCTGATCTTCACTGCAGAATGTAAAGGTTTCAATGTCTTGCCTTAATAAATGTCTTGCCCTGCATGTCTCCACTGGTCTTCTTATAATCCTGCAGTCTCAGGCCTTGAGTCAAGGGTGGCTTTTATAGGGGAGTGGCCTTTTGCTGTGGGTGATAATCAGCTCCAGAGAACCAGCATCCTATTACCAAGGGGGCCTGAGTCCAGGCATCTCAGAGGGAAATATTTGGTAGGAATCATCCTGCATTCCATAGAGATTTCCTATCCTGTGGCCCTAAATAAAAGCCATGGTAACGAGGACACAGGAATTACAGTGTTGCCAATGGCCTCGTACTGAGGGAACCCCCAAGTCTGCCTGGGTGTCCAGGCCTGGGGTTCCCACCCAGCAGTGGCCCTAGTGTGATGTCCTTTAAGACCAAAAGTCAGCCTGCTTGGTGCCACCTCTGCACTGTGGTTTCTCTTCCCTGTTATGTTTATTTCCTGATTTATCACAACTTGAGGACATCTCCAGGTTTCAACCTGGAGATAACATTTTTTCACTTCCCACACTCAGAGCACTCATCAGTGCCCGCACCACTCACCAACACCTGAGGCGAATTCTTTTTCAAGCTCTCCCAAGAGCTCCAGAACCCAGCACCCCTGCCAACTGGACAGCTCCAAGCATGCACTATACATTCATTTCAGGAGCAGGATGTGAAACTGAGCACAGGGTCCTCCCATAGCCGCTCTCCCTTCCATGAGCCCATCAAGGCTAATGCATGAGCCCAGCAAGTCCCCTGGGCTTGGGAGATACCACAGCAAGGGACATGCCACAGGTTCTCGGCTCGGTGTCCTGTGGTTGCTGGAACAAACCTCTGCAAACTTGGTGGCTTAAAAGAACTGATTTTCTGACACCTCTGGGGGGTCAGAAGCCCAAAGTTAGTATCATTGCTGGGAGGTCAGGGGGCAACAGGGCTCTACTCCCTAGGGAGCTGTGAGGGAGAGATGATTAAGAGCTGCTTCTGGCTTCTGAGCTGCTGACTTTCCTGGTCCTGTGGCATATCACTCCAACCTCTTTCTCCATGATAAAAACATTTTTTCTATTGTTATTTCTATGTCAAATCCTTCTCTGCCTTTTAATTATAAAATACAGGGGTTGGGTTTAGGGACCACCAGATGATGATGATTATTATACTATTATTATTATTATTAAGATGGAGTCTTGCTCTGTTGCCAGCCTGGAGTTCAGGGGCATGATCTCAGCTCACTGCAACCTCCACCTCCAGGGTTCAGGTGATTCTCCTGCCTCAGCCTCCTGAGTAGCTGGGATTACAGGCATGCACCACTATGCCCAGCTAATTTTTGTATTTTTAGTAGAGATGGGGTTTCACCATGTTGGCTAGGATGGTCTCGATCTCTTGACTTCATGATCCACCCACCTTGGCCTCCCAAAGTGCTGGGATTACAGGCGTGAGCTACTACGCCCGGCCGACCACCAGATTATTTAAAATAATGTCCACATCTCATAGTCTTTAATCGCATCTTCAAATGGCTTTTTTTGTCATGTAATGGAACATTTACAGATTCCCGGGATTAGGATGTAGACATTTTTTGGGAAACATGAATCGGCCAAAAACATATCCCCTTCCTACTGTCTCCTAGCAGTGCACTAAGTTTTATTTCCTCCATGGCTACATTATCAGCTTTGCAAATATCTTTTTTCCTATTATGTGGTCACCATCACAGTCTGGTCTATGTCCTTCACGACTTAGACTGAAATCTAAATTGTCTCCGAGCCTCTGTGAAGCCTTCCTGTGATACAGTCTCTTCATCCACCCCAAAGTGAATCTACTAAAATTAAAATGTGATTCTGTCTTCTTTTCCACAACTGTAAATGACCAGGGGCTCTTTGTTCTCAAGGGTTTTAGGTAAGGGCGCTTATTTTTACCCTAAACCTACCTTCATATGATAATAGTAATGTTTATACACTTGGGAACAATAATAGGTAAGTTATTATTAATTGAACATTGCTTGTAAAATAAATATGTATTTTAAAAATCACACCAGGAAATAGGTGCACTTAAAAATAGAACCTAAGACCAGGTGCAGTGGCTCATGCCTGTAATCCCAACACTTTGGGAGGCTGAGACAGGTGGATCACAAGATCAAGAGATCGAGACCAGCCTGGCCAACATGGTGGAACCCTGTCTCTACTAAAAATACAAAAATTAGTTGGGCGTGGTGTCAATTTGTCAGATTCATTCTCTGTCTTTTTTTGTTCCCTTGATGATGAGAAGTTGTGATCCTTGGGAGGAGAAGAGGTGTCCTGTTCTTTGACGGTTTCATCCTTTTTGTGCTATTTTTTCCCCATCTTTGTGGATTTATCTCCCTTTAATATTTGAAATTGGTGGTTTCAGGAGTCGTCTCTGGTAGTTTTTTTTTCTGTTGAGGTTGGAGCTGTATCTTTGTTGGCCTGTAGAGGGCGTTGCTGGGCTCTCTCGGTTCAGTCAGGTTGTTGGTGGCTGGTCCTCTCCTGGAGTTTGTTTGCAGATGAGATTGACCCCGCCTTCCCAATGGCGTCTCTCTCAGAGCTGCATCTTCCAGGTTGGGGTCAAGCTGGTGTGTTTGCTGCCGAGCTCTCTAACAAGGACTTCAGTTTGAGTTCTGTGTAGGTAGTGCCTGCCAGTCCTTATGATCTGTTTCCCTGCTTTCAGCTCTGCCTCCCTCTGTGGGATGGTCCATCCCACTGGCATTCGTCCAAACTCCCACCCAGGTCCCTGTGGTTGTCCCACCCTGTGGTAGACGCTGCTCAGATTTGGAGCACTGAGGGTGTTAAGTCCCCCGACACTCCGAGCTGGCTACACATTTCAGGTGGGGCCGTGTCCCTCATCTTAATTTGCCCCCCTGGGCATCTCTTGCTCTCTGGCTCCTTCCCGGGGCCTATTTTCAGAGCCCTATCTGTCCCACAGAAATGAACCAGGCACCTTGTTTGGAACCATGAAGTCCTCTGGCCCTCTGCATCTCATTCACTGGAAGCTGCATTCAGGTGCTGGCTTCGCTTGGCCATCTTGGCACCCCCTCAATTTTTATTTTTTGAGATGGATTCTTGTCCTGTTGCCCAGGCTGGAGTGCAGTGGCACAATCTTGGCTCACTACAACCTCTGCTTCCAGGGTTCAAGTGATTCTCCTGCCTCAGCTTCCCCAGTAGCTGGGCTTACTAGTCTGTGCCACCATGCCCAGCTGATTTTTGTATTTTTAGAAGAGGTGGGGTTTCACCATGTTGGCCAGCTGTTCTCAAACTCCTGACCTCAGGTGATCCACCCACCTCAGCCTCTCAATATTCTGGGATTACGTGCGTGAGCCACTGTGCCCAGCCAAGGCTGTTTTTATATTTTAAGAATTAAAGTTATGTGAACTGAAAGGCATCATGGCCTTTTAAAAATATTTGCTTTTTGAAGGAAAAATAAAATCCTTTACAGACAAGCAAATGCTGAGAGATTTTGTCACCACCAGGTCTGTCCTGCAAGAGCTCCTGAAAGAAGCACTAAACATGGAAAAGAACAACCAGTACCAGCCACTGCAAAAACACACCAAATTGTAAAGACCATCGATGCTACTAAGAAACTGCATCAACTAACAGGCAAAATAACCAGCTAGCATCATAGGCTTGCCTGTTATGGCTGTCAAGAGGTTAGGGTTAATTTTACAATGCTTACAAAGACCTGGGTTGTTTTTGCAGGGCAAAGAAAGGTTTAGATGTTGGATAGTATTGAAAAATGCTTCCCTGGGGAGGCCAGGGCTCCTATTTGTAAGATGGCCATGCCCTTATGCAACATAATGTAAGAACTTTTTCTTTAGAGTTTTGGAGTTAAAGGAGTTCTAGTGTTTCAGAACGCACTCAAGGGGAGTGTAGACTGCAGATGGTTTGTTACCTATCTAGAAAAGAGAGGAGAAAAGACATTTCTCATTTTCCTTCTTCTTTTCTGAGTGAAAGATAGAGTGGCATTCCTCCTCTCCTCTTTCCTCCTTTGCCCTCTGGATCCTGGTGACTGTCATAGGTGCTGCCCCATGGAGACAACTGTGACCTTTACGCTGGTCTCAGAGAAGCTAGTAGGCAGGATTAGTCACACTTACCTGCACAGGGCCCCAGCTTTCCATCCTGTTGGATTCCTAGACTCAGTCTGCCCACAAGGCTCCCAAGGTACCCCAGAGGCCTGGGAGAGATTATGTGGTAGTTGGACTTGGGCAAGAACTTTTAATGGAGGGAGTGTTCTAATACTATTTTTGGCTTGCCTTGCTACAGTTTCGGCAAAACACTGGAATTTCACAGGATGGGAGTGATTAACAGACACTTCTCAAAAGAAGACATTTATGTGGCCAGCACACATATGAAAAAAAGCTGATTATCACTGGTCATTAAATAAATGCAAATCAAAACTACAGTGAGATACCATCTCATGCCAGTTACAATGGTGAGAAATAGAAGTGCTTTACACTGTTGGTGGGACTGTAAATTAGTTCAGCCATTGTGGCAGTCAGTGTGGTGATTCCCCAAGGATCTAGAACCAGAAATACCATTTGACCCAGCAGTCCCATTACTGGGTATATACACAAAGGATTATAAGTCATTCTACTATAAAGACACATGCATATGTATGTTTATTGCAGCACTATTTACAATAGCAAAGACTTGGAACCAACCCAAATGCCCATCAATGATAGAATGGAAAAAGAAAACATGACACATATACACCATGGAATACTATGCAGCCATAAAAAAGAATAAGTTCATGTCCTTTGAAGGGACATGAATGAAGCTGGAAGCCATCATTCTCAGCAAACTAATGCAGGAACGGAAAACCAAACACTGCATGCTCTCACTCATAAGTGGGAGTTGAACAATGAGAACACGTGGAAACAGGGAGTGGAACATCACACACCAGGGCCTGTCCATGGTGGGAATCAAGGGAGGGGAGAGAATTAGGACAAATACCTAATGCTTGTGGAGCTTAAAACCTAGATGACAGGTTGACAGGTGCAGCAAACAACCATGGCATATGTATATGTAACAAACCTGCATGTTCT